ACTCGTAGAAAGCGACGAATCCTCATCATCTCGGCTCTCGTGGCTACGCCAAAAAGATACCAGAATTTAAAGCATAACTTGAAAAGATGGATCACCTTGGTGAGGAAGGCGTTCAGGTTGAGACCGTCGATTGGGAGCCAAGATCAGTAATATACTGTATGGGGAGGAATGTACGCCACGCAGAGGACGGGAGATTTAGCTCCACAAATCAACCCATGAGCAAACTCATCCAGAGGATCTCCCAAGTAACTAAGGAGGTGAGGCAAGGGACTCGCACTTCTAATAGGGAGAAATACGTGCTCACCCAAGCACTCGGAACCAAGGGGCACCCTAGTCGCACTAGAGGAATCGGTGTTGTTCCTAGGAAACTAGCATTCCCCCAAGAATCTAACACTTATCGAAGCCACTCGAGGGGTAGAGCGGATCAGGAGGCAGAGTATTTGAGGCGACTAAAAGAGATGGAAGAAAGAATGGGTGTATGAATTGAGACGACTGTTGAAGCATGAGTCCAGCAAAATTTGATGTCCAAGGGGTGAGGAGTACCACAAAACCCTATTCCTACTGCCTTTAGCCCACAGTTTAGGGGTCGCACCAGCGACGGATCGACCCCGCTCGACGAAGAAGATGTGAATGTGCCTCATCCGGTGGACGGCATCAATGAACCCGTCAATGTCAAGTTGTACATCCGTCAGGAATGGACAAAGGACAAGGTGACGCTCGGCCAGGCCTGGCCTATGGGAGACGGGACCATTAATGGCCACCCAATTCCACAGGGGTACGCTCGTGTCACCATTCACATAATACTTGATAAAAAGTATAACAAGATACACATTGAGTACCCCATAGCGGAAGACAGACCGAAACTTGGTCATAACAAGAGCTCTCAAGTGGCCTGGCGCAAGCGTTTCATTAAGCTTGACCACCAATTGTCCTCTGATGATGAGGACAATTGCGAGTCTTTGCCCACCCATGATGATCACTCACCAGCTCCCAACAGAGAACACTCCCCTCCTCATACCTTGCCATCACCCCCGAGAAGACAGAGGTCTCCTTCTATTCTTCCTCATCCGACTCCATCTTTATCAGCCCTGAGAAAAGAGAAGACTCCTCCTCCTCCTCCATCTTCATCAGCCCTGGGAAACCAAAATTTTCATCATCATCCTCCTCCTCCTCCACCTCAGCCCAAAACAAGATCAAAGGTATCCTCACAGTCACAGAAAAGGTCCTTGGATTCGGTCGCTAATACTCCAAAAGTGGACCAACAAAAAAGAAAAGGCGGTTCAGTGGCAGCGTTATAAACTTGATTGAAGAAAAATTTACATCACACATCTCGAAGGAAGACTTATTAGTTTCTTTAATCTCTGTGCCTCACTGCCTCCGTTTTTGTTGAAGTCCGAATTCGAAAGGCAAACACAGAATCAGTACGCTACAACAAGAGCCGATAAAATACACAATGAAGATTTAAGGAAGATATAGAAGTTCATCGAAGACAACCTCGAATTAACCATGGAACCATCTATTATGATGTACACGGGACGGCAACACCGGCAATGAAGTATGAAAGGGGCAATCTTTTGGTTCTCGATCACGAGTATAAAAATTTGACAACATATATGCGTCAGTTGCATGAATATTACATAGCTCAAACAACAGAGATGGAGGACTTTGGTTTTGTGGTTATTATCCGTTCGCCACATGTTTTTAATTATCCTAAAGAAGAGAAATTCGATATCGAGTGGGAGTGCTTGTTCCAGCTGTACCAGAAACGCTCTCTCGATACACAAATATTGACGCTGTGGACTATGTAAGTACCCTACACGCACGATATTACAATTAACTACTCTCAGAAAACAAATTGTTAATTTTTGAGCACTTATCATGATTTTATGTAGGTGTATAGCAAAATTTTGCATTCTAAAAAGCAAATGGGATAACATAGGCTTCTTGGACCCCTTGCGAGTCAATGAGAAGATATGTCTAGGCCTCTATGGATGTGACATGGAAGACCTAAAACAGAGATTGATTGCTGTTTTCGATGAATTCAAGATGAAGAACAAAACCCACATACTTCTAGCCTACAACTGCGATTATGTGTTCTCGGCTTTTAATTTTATGCTTCTTTTTTCGTTAAGATTATTTGATAATTAGGATTCTGTGATTGCAGCCTCCATTTTGTCTTCATTTGTGTTAATCTTGTCAAAAATCTGATCGAGGTGTGGGACTCGAAGAAAAAACTATTTCATCATCTGGATGCACTGGTGACAGTGCTGAATTAGTAAGCGATCCTAATAACATATTATTTTCTAATCACACATAACGCTTTCTAACATTTCTCCTTTTAATGTTGCTTAGTGTCCGAAGAAAACATATCGGTGGGACGCACGTCCCATTCAAGGTTGTCGAAATGGATGGGAAATACCTAAAACAGTCGGCGGGAAACAATGATTGCGAGTTTTATGTAATGTGGGCAATGCTTCGCTACATCGGTGAAAAATCGGAAAAAGCTGATAAGTTGGTGTGTATAATCCCCATTTCATTTATGTCTGTTAATCATTCAACAAAATGATTTACTGATTCCTCTTTGGATATCATCTTTTTTGAACAACAGCGCAAGAAATATAACCATGAAAGGCTGTTAGACATGGAGATCGTCCCGCTGCAATCGGAGCTGGCAAAATTCATCTTAGCCGAGGTATTGGAAAAAGATGGAGTATTTTCCATTGCACAATCCATGAAGTTCAAGGACCAGTATGGCCCAGAGCGGCTCGCCAGATTATTGTAAGAAGTTCGAAAAGCATTGCACAATCTGTGAAGTCCGAGAACATTTCTTTTTTATTTTGAGGGATCGAGATCTTGATAAGAACATTTGAACTGTAACCGTAACATTTATAATGTTTAATATTGATGGACCTGCCGTCTAAGTAGCGTATATAAAGCGAAACCCGATTCCACGAAAAAATATAAATTAAAATAAATTATAAAACAATAAAATGTGAACGTGACATCACTACCGGTTAGCAGAAAACCGACAGTGTTGTCGTAAACATCACTGCTGGTTAGCAACAAACCGGCAGTGATGGCACTGCCGGCTAGAGCCACAAACCGGCAACGTTGGCTTAGCCATCACTGCCGATTCTTGTCAGAAACCGGCAGTGATTCGTACGATAACACTACTAGTTCAAACATAAACCGACAGTGTTGGTGGAAATGAACTTTACCGGGTGGTCTTATGAACCGGCAGTGTTGGTGGAACTGAACTCTGCCGGTTGTGTAAAGAACCGGCAGTGAAGTTGAAGAACACTACCAGTTTGTAGGAACCGACAGTGATAGCTTACTCTCATCACTGCCGGTATGGTTGTGCCAGTTCAAAATCCAACAGTGATGGGGTATTTTAAACCAACAGTGAAGTGCGATTCTGACGTAGTGTGTAGTACGGCAGCAACCTCGCTGATGCACCATTGGGTGCGATCGAGGCTAGCGGCGATGGGGCAATGAGTAATAGAGTTAGGGATTTGAGTTTGGGGGGCTTAGAAAGGCTGGAGAAGGCCGGAGAAGTGGAGATAGGAGATAAAAGTTACTAATAGTAATGTTAGATATGTACCGAATGTATATGAGTATAGTTTGTTTACATTACGACTTGAATTATATTATGGGCTAGGTTAGAGTTGGAGTCAGACTCTGTATCATAGACAACCATAAATATAAGGCAACCCCTGTTGTAACTATGGGAAGACTTACGATTGGTTTGGACGGTGGCAAGGCCACATGAATGTCATTGTAGCTGCTGTTTTATAGGGAGGAGCAACTGTGGTAATGTCTCGAGGACGTAGACACATCGCTGAACCTCATTAAAAAACATCTGTGTCTTTGTCATTCTCACTTGTATATTTTCTCCTATAGTATTTATATTCAGTGGGGGAGCCAGGAACTTTTGGAAGCCCAGGCAAGCCTAAGCATGGCTAAATTATGCATCGAATCCTTGCACCATATACACAAACAAAAGTTGTTTTGACCATATAGTTGAAGCCACTTCAAGGTCTGCAGGAGCCGTTATCAAAGGAAAAAAAAAGTCTGCAACAGCACTGTTTGACAGCAGAGAGCCCGGGCAAGTGCCCTGGGTGCTCGGGCCTTAAATCCGCCACTGTTTATATTTTTGTGTTCTTTGGTTAGTATCCATTTGGATCTTAGATTAACCATGCACTCTAACAAAGTGGTACCTGAGCTAGAGTCATAAAATTAAAGAACATTGCATTAAGGTGAGATAGATATGTCGCGCACACCGTGCAATGCGTGGGTGTGTCCAGGAAAGGACATGGCACAATGTAGAGCATTGCAGCGATCGCCGACTCAATCGTTAGAGTTGAAAAATTCGAGCAGGTGGCTTGAATCTTTCAATGGGCTGCAATAGATAATGATGTGTCCAGACATTGAGATCGGGTTGATGCATGGCGGCTGGTGGCTGTTGTTCAATAGAGGCCGGTCATGCATGACGACTAGTTTCGATAGTGTGGTTGGAGGTTGTCGTGGAAGAAGACGGTGGTTTTAACTCGAAAACAAACTCGTGGACAGATTAACGGGTGGTCCATTCCATAAGAATAAACCTAGTAGATAGAAAATAATGAGAAAATTAATTTACTGCAAATAGAATTTTACAAGCTAACCTTTTGATTAGTAGGATTGTAAGAACGAATAACATGTAGGCAATAATGGAAAAGGACGATGCGAATTTGGCACCAATTTAATCTAGCCCTACACGGCGGCGCGATCCAAATGCAGTATGTGTTGACTGACGTGCTCGAAGTTCAAGCTACACTACAAGTACAATAAAATATGATTGTTTGGAGGTAAGTCGCATCATGCCATACATCAAGAAGACGCACGCATTGATTGCATCGGTCGCTAGCTATCTATATAAAGGCCATCAGCATGCCATTGCACTGTCGAGGAATAACCACAGCTGACAGCATAGAAGAGCTCAGCAGCTGAAAGGGTCTGCCCATATGGCGAACTCACCAACGCCGCCTGCCATGATCCCGACGGCGGTCTTGGCTCTCGGGCTAGCATTCCTGATCTGCGCCGGCAGGCCCACGGCCGCGCAGCACTGCGGCTGCCAGCCAGGCTTTTGCTGCAGCAAGTTCGGTTACTGCGGCAAGACCAGCGACTACTGCGGCGAGGGGTGCAAGTCGGGCCCGTGCTGGGGCTCAGGAGGAGACCGCGGCGCGTCTGTGGCGAGCGTCGTCACCGAGTCCTTCTTCAACGGCATCAAGTCCCATGCCGGGAGCTGGTGCGAGGGCATAGGCTTCTACACGCGAAGCGCGTTCCTCGAGGCCGTCGCCGCGTACCCGGGCTTCGCGCATGGCGGCTCGGAGGTCGAGGGCAAGCGCGAGATTGCCGCCTTCTTCGCGCATGTCACGCACGAGACCGGGCGTAAGTATCGGATTCTTGAGGCATCTAAACCCTTGTTTGCTGGCTGCGCTCTTTTCGTATGCACCTACTGGTCTCTTGATGCATGAGAGTGTTTGTGGTTGCATGTATGTGCGTCCATGACAACAGATTTATGCTACATCAACGAGATCGACGTGGCGAAATACTGCGACTGGACGAGTGAGAAGCAGTGGCCGTGCTACCCGATGCAGGGGTACTACGGGCGCGGCCCGCTGCAGCTGTCGTGGAACTACAATTACGGGCCGGCGGGGAGGAGCCTCGGCTTCGACGGGCTGCAGGACCCGGACAGGGTGGCCCAGGACCCCGTGTTGTCGTTCAAGTCGGCGCTCTGGTACTGGATGGAAAACATGCACCAGCTCATGCCCCAGGGGTTCGGCGCCACCATCAGGGCCATCAACGGCTTCGATGAGTGCCACGGCGGGAAGAACACGGCCGAAATGAAAGACCGGGTGCGATTCTACCTGGAGTATTGCCACCACTTCGGCATTCACCCGGGGAGTGACCTCACTTGCTAGGTGCTCAGTTCATCTATCTTGTGAACCTAGGAGAACATGTTGGATTACATCTTGCATTGTTCAGCTCCTACTTCTTCGGGCCGTTTTATTACGTATTAATAGAAATAAACTGGCTTTATCTCTTGTCTCCTAGAATCAGATTCGACCACTTATTATAGTATTGTGTAACCACACAAATGTCCTACTCAAAACTCAATTCTAAGAGCAACTTCAGTAGGGCCATTACTTAAGCCCTCGTCCTACTTTTAAGGTCCAAGGGGCAAAAAAACTAAATCTAACAAGCCATGTACTCCGGCCCTCAAAAGTAAGAGAGAGCCTCTACTTTTCTCTGTTTTGACAGTTTTCACTCGTGCGCAAGCTTTTTCACCCACGCCCGCCCACCCACCTCCGCACGATTCCTCTTCACCTTCGGCCACCTGTCCCCGCCCATATCCTCCTCAGTCCCTCCAGCATTTGGCCAACGCCTAGTAGCTCGCCCCTACCAGTCCGCTCATCTTCCGGCATGGCCGCACCCGGACGAGGACGCTCTTGGCGATTTTCTCAGCCACGAGTCCACTCGGTTTTGGCTCCGACGTCCTCCCGCCCCTCCCCTTTGAGTCTACAGTGACCTCCCTCCTCTAATGCCCCTCTAAGTCTGCGACGGACCTCCCTCTCTGGCAACCTCCCTATCCTCGTGCCCCTCCCCCGTGAGTCTGCTCGGCTTGAAGCCGGCTCCCCGACAACGACACACACGGTGAGACGCGACCTCGCCGAGACGCGACCCTGACCCCTACGAGCATGGTCGTGTTCATCAATGGAGAGAATAAGATAGGAAAGAGAGGCAAGTGGGTCATATATGTCATTCTTTATTAGAAATGAATTTGAGGACCCTGTTTTGAGGGCTCTTTGCTATGGAGTGCAGACCAGAAGATAAGGTCCTCAAAAGTGGGGTAAGACCTTAAATGAAAAGTAGGGGGTCATGTTTTGAGGGCTATTGTTGCAGTTGTTCTAACATTTTAAGACCATCCAAAGGGTGCAAAAAAGTTCATTGCCGCTGCTTATTGGCTTCACTCAACTGTAATTGCACCCATTGGTGTAGCAAGTGCGTTTCTCTGAATATAATCTACAAAAAAAATTTGGGTCGACACTTGTTAAAAGCAACTTCATTACTTGTATGCCATATTGTCCAGCACAAGGTTGCACATCCTATTAGCAACAAAGATTTGTTTGAAACTCCCCCTTGTTTATAGCATCTGTAAAAAAAGATCATGGACATCTTTTGGGATGTTAATCTAGTACAAAGTGAACCGCTCTCCAGAGAAATTCAGCTCACAAACAGTCAAAGAAGAGATGTTGAATTGTTTCATTCTTGGAGCGGAAAGCACACATTTTGCTCCCGTTCCAATTCCTTCTGACTAAATTATCTTTGGTTAGAATAACACCTTTTTTTAGGAACCACATTTTTTTAAAATTCGAAGTGGTATTTTTAGCCTCCTTACTTTTTGGGTAACCTTTATTCCGTTGTTGATAGATATCTATACATGGAATCTGCTGTGAAGGAACCATTATTTTTAAGCAAGTAAAAAAAGGTCTCTCTCCCTACATGTAAATCAATGTTCTCAAGTCTTGCTAGTAGGTGATGCCACTCTAACAATTTGTTACCTACTAAAACTCTTTTGAAGAAAACAATAAGTGGTATGGTTCCCAGAGTTGTTGCAACAAAAACTTGTTTTCACCAAACTATATTCTACAAGTTAGGAAATTAGGACTTCGGAGGAACTCTTCTATGCTAGGTGTCGTGGGTCCATAACTGCGACAATGATCGGGTTGTTCAACATGGGTTGATATGTGTACCTCCGGTGGCTTAAGAACCCAAAACACAAGGGATTTTCCTAGTTTAGGTGTCTAAGCCCTACGTCCAACAGTAGTGTTCTTCATGTTAGGAATGTTCAATCGACAGATCTTACAATGGAGGAATAGAGAGTGAGATGTAGGGGGAAGCGCTATGCTAATCTAGGCCTCTAGGGTTTGGCCGGGCTTGGTCAATTGTCCCGAGGTTCGATACCTTCTACAGGAGCCCATGCCTTTCCTTATATACCGGGGAGGTGATAGGAGTACAAATTGAATGGTTTCTCCTAGGATTTTTCATCCTAGCTATGTTGCGGTCTTCTTCCTTAGGGCGCTGCTAGTCCTCCTTTGTCTTGTAGCTGGGGGTTAACAAATTCTCAACTGCCCTCTGACTCCTCTGTCGTAGCCTGGCGCTGACCACCAGGTGCTATCTACTGTCGTCGTGCCTTCGCGGGGGGCCCACCAGGTTATCCACTATTTTCTAAAGGGTGCATGCGAGTGAACCCGATGGGTGTAGGCCCCAAGCCCTACCTAATTAGAAGAATCCCTCAGTCAAGGGGGGTTAACCAGACTGCCATGCCCTCAATCCAAGGATTTAACATGCCCATATGTTTGATTCTTGTCAAGAGCCCCCGAGCCCTTCATGGCCTCCTAGGTCACATCCAGGATGACAATGAGGGGATTTTCTCGATTATAGCCAGCGGCCCGGTCGAGGACATTGAGTCTTTTTGTCTCATGTTGCATGTCCATCTGAGGATGTGATGGACACCTTCACGACTCTTGGTGGGGTAACGCCCTTGGTGAGCTTCAAACCAGAAAAGCTTGAGGGCCTGGCCCAAATTTCATTTCCACGGGTGCTCGCCCTTTCCGAATTGAGTGATCGATACGTCATCCACTCACGTTATTGTGTTCTGGGTCCACTTGACCAACTTTATCTCTTTATTTTTCTTTTCCCTTCCTAGTTCCCATCTTTGGTGTTCCTTTTATGTATGTTGTACACTAGCACTAGCACTATCATACATGAACGTTTCTTGTATTAATTAATTAATAATATATTACATTGCTTGGGTTTTTTTTTTATTTTTCCCTTTGTTCTCTTTCTATTTTTTTATAGTAGTCTATTGATTTTCCTTTTATGTATGTTACCAACATATCAACTAATATGTTATGATATTAATTTGTACTAAGTTGTTTAGAATAACTTATATACACAAGTTGTGTAGAATAAGTTATGTACACAAGTTGTATTTGATAACTTTTTATACATAAGTTGTGTTTCATAACTTTTGTGTTTTCAAGTTTTGGTAAAGAAAGTTAATTAGTTCCTTTGTGCTTAATAACTTTTACGTTTCTATGTTTTTGGCATAAGTTATAAGGTAATTCATTCCTTTGTATTTAATAACTTTTGAACATAAATTGTGTTTGATAACTTTTATGTTTCCAAGTTTTGGCATAAGTTATAAGTTATATGTTATAAGTTATGTGGTATAAGTTAGTACACATAATTTCTACTAGAATAAAATTTCTTCGAAATATATGCAAGTGGGGTCTAGTTTTGTTTACCTCGTCACATAGAACACACCAGTGCAGACGGAATTGAAAATAGATACACCGTTCAGAAGTTATAGCAATTTCAAATAAATGTTTCGTTTTTTTCTAGTCTACATTAGCAATGACATCACAACAGCCAAAAGAAAATGGTTCCGCGGTCGACACCAGCGTGTCTGCTCACAACATAAATGGGAAAGAGGTGGGATCTATATTTTCCCTCAAATGGAATCGGGTGATCGTTCGTGAAATAGTGGCCTCGCGGCCTGGCCAATCCCTTGGGGATCATTGGCTCTGGGGCCTCTGTGAGGTGCCCTGCTTACCTAGCCTGCTGTGGGTCGTGCAACTTGGCTCGGGGCCACTTCATCGCTCAGCGACCCACCCCTATCGACGGGTTCGAAAACAAGCTTCCAGGGTTCAAGCTAGACATTGATTTGTGAATATGAGTTACATCCAAATAACCTGGAGGGTACTTCTCTACCACTGATTCAACAAGATCCATATAATTTGTTGTGTCTGAATCCACAACCATGTCAAAGCTAAAACATTTCATATCCTGTCTAGACTTTTTATAGTTGCCCAACAATTTATTTTTTAGCACTAAACTTGTATTTGGATCCCACGTGTTATTCAAAAAACTAGCATGTTGAGACCTTTGCAATTCTCTACCTAATGGGAATGACAAAACTAATGGTGGACTCACCCTTTGAGCCAATCATTGTCCTCGACCACTCCATGGGTAGGGTCGATGCCCTTGGATGTGCCTTGGCTTGAGGTGTCACCTTGGGCAGCGGCAGCCCCCTTGGCCGTGCCCAAAGCCGCGCCCTAGCCAGTGGCTGCCCCTCTCGACCACCCTTGAAGCCATGCCCTGGGGTGGTGGAGTCATCCTCGGCCATGTTCGCAGTTGCGCCCTGGGTGGTGGCAGCCCCGTTGGAGAACTCCATTCCTTGCTAGGGTTCCCTGCTCGCTCGGCCACTGATCGACTAAATCGAGTGAAGTTGCATGCATTGGAAAGGAAGTGAAGAGGTAAGGGTATTGCCATCCTTTCGTATATCTTTGTGTGCTGATGTCCCATGTTCATGGCTAATAGAATGGATGGAAGGGCTAGAAAAGAAACAAAGTTGTATTTCTAGCCAAATAGGAAACTTCAAAACTAAAAGAGCCAAGGAAGAAAGCAGAACTTTTTTGGGGCTAAAGAAATAATTTTCTCTATTGTTCTCCATCGCTACTTTAGGAAGTAGAGTGGTAGTTCACACTGTGACTGGTAAAGAACCTCTGTCGAAGTCATGAAATAGTGCCATTAGGTCCTCTTTTATTACATTCCAAAATGCTTGATAAAATTCAGCAGGAAACCCATCTGGGCCCGAAGCTAAGTTATGGTTCATTTGGAACATAGCATTCCTTACTTCAGTTTTAGAAAAATGTCATACTAGAATTTCATTTTCTTGGATAGAGATGTGAGGGATGTCCTCTCTTTGTGACTCATCCGTCGACACAAAAGATGTTTCTGGAGGTCAAAATTTTTTTTGTAATATTTGGTGATATAATTTTTTAATTAAGCATCACCAGCAATCACACTGCGGACGGTCCGCACTGCACCAGTTTGCATGCAACAACACAGCAAC